GTTTTAGTTATAGTCAATTTTATTTTTCTTTTCAATTTTTTATATCCAAAAAATCAAAAGAATTTGTAAAATTTCCTGGAATGGTAGATATAGCCACTACTTAGCCTAATCTAGTATATTAATATTGATTTTGAATTTTTTTACAATATTAGTTAAATATTGATAAGTAGGCAAGCTAGCATTTAACTTTGCTGAAATAATAAAGGAGATATTGTTTTTTTTAATGATATATACCTTGTTATATATAAATCAAAATAAAGAAATGATGTTTAACTATTGAAGAAATTCCCAAAAAAAGAAATATTAAAAGGATATTGCAATATATAATTATTCAATTATATTATAATAATTATTGATAATTTTAATATTTTATGAATTTCTAAATCTATAGTTTTGATTTTATAGTTTATAAAATTGTAAAAAAAAATTTTTTTTAAATTTTAATATAACAGATAATTTTTTTATATATTATATTATTGTTAACAGTTTTATAATTTATTTTATAATTTTAATATTATTGATAGTAACATTGAAATTAAATATATAAAATATAATATAATATATTCATTATATTTAATATTTTTTTATTTTAATTTGATATTTTAATATTATAAAAAATATTAAAAAAAACTAAAAATAATACTTATTTTAATCTAATATACTGTATATAATATATAAATATTAAAGATAATAATTTGTAAAGTTATAAATAATAAAGAAAATACTTTAAAGTAATATAAGTAATAATAACAAACTATATAATAAATAGTTAAAAATAGTTATTCTAATAAGCTTATTATAGAAAAAATTATATATACATATATATAACATAACTATTTGAATTTGTTTTTAATCAAATATAATAAATACAGATTATATGGATTATTTATAAAAAATAAATAAGTTTTAAAATTAGCAATGGTTTTATTAAAACCAATAGAATTTTTATAACAAAATTCAAATTTATTTTTTAAGATTTGTAATTTTTTAAACATAACAATAATAAATTATTTTTAAAAAAATTTTTTTATGGTTTTTTATTATATTAAAAAATTTTTATTTATATTTCAAATTTGTTAAATTAATATATTTTAATTTAATTATTTATTATTCTATTATAATAAGAAATTCTTTATTAATTTTTTTGTTAAATATTATAAATAAAATATTACTAATAGATATTTTAATATTAAAATAATTTTTTTTTTTAAAAAAACAATTTAAACATATTTTTGAAATTTTAAATATTTTTCAAAACAAAAAATTATTTATTTTAATATTATGTTTTGATGTTTATACTTATATTAAATTTAGAAATAATATTTACAAATTAATAATAGATAATCTTATTTATTTATTATTTATAAAATTTAATAACAAATTATCCATTTTAACTCTTAGTATATTGTTTTAATAACAATAAATAAATAAATACACAAATATAATTATTAAAATAGAAAAATATATCTAAATGTTCATTATTTACGTATATATAAAAATTTAATTAATGATTTTATTTAAAAATAGCTAATTTTAATGTTTTGATTTTTATATTGACTTTGTTATACTATCACTCCACCTTACGTTTCATGAACCCATTCATTTCACCTTACGTTTAGTAAATCTATCCATTTTACTTAACATTTCACGAACCCCATTCACTCTACCATATGTTTAGCAAATATGACCATTAAATATTACATTTCAAGATCCCATTTATTTCACCTCAAGCAAACCTACCCATTTCATTTTACATTTTACGATCTCATTCACTTCATCTTACACTTCACAGACTTACTTATTTTACTTCATATTTACAAATTCATTTATTCCATCTCACATTTCAAAAATCTACCCATTCCACTTCATTTTTCACAAATTCATTCATTCTATTACATGTTTCACAAACATAACCATTGATTAAATCTTACATATCACGATTTCATTCATTTCACTTAAAATTTGCAAACTTATCCATTTGATTTTACATTTAATGAACTGATTCATTTCATCTCATTTTTTCGCAGACTTAATTATCCCACCACGAATCTATTTACTCCACCTCACGTTTCGCAAACCTACTCATTCCATCTAATATCCCGTGACCCATTCATTCCACTTTACATTTCGCAAACCTACCTATTCACCTTATGTTTTGTAAAATTATTGATTCCACTTCATTTTTTATGAAAGGCAACTAACTATCTTAACAGGATAATAATAAACAATATTGAACATCGTCATAAAATTACATGAGTCAGATGAAATGCGATACTTAAAGAATTTCTTTGATATTTTGTTTATAACATAGATACGGGTTTTCTTTAATCTGTCGAATTGTTAACTTTTGAAATTTCCGAAATTCATCCGAAAGATTGTATCTTTCAACAATCCACTGAAAAAGCGCGTAAGTATGTATAGTTAGTTAATACAGTGAATGCAACAAAACATTGACCACATCGTGTACTCACATCCTCTTTCGATGTATCTCTGAAATCGACCTTATCAATTACATCTCCCCATGAATAAAGAATCTTGTACCTTTTTCTGGCATCACAATATTCAGACTCAATATCTACATCTATAATATATGAGATTCTTTCAGAAATTAGCAAAAACCAAGGTGATTCCTTTTTCGCAATTAAATGTAGTAGAAAGATCAGATGTCGAAATATGATTCTGATGGGACTCTACGAGTGGATTTTTCGCGTATATTTGGTCATCAGGAAGGGGATCCGCAACATTTTCATTCTTCTTTATCCGCTTGCTCTGTAATTTCTCGTGATCATTCTAAAGATTAAAATAGAAGTTCATTAGGAACATGAAAAATAATAATTCTATTTAAATTGCGTATATACCTCTCTCTTGTTGCTTTTTTAAACACTTTACATCGAAAGCTCAGCAACCTGTGATCTCATTATTGATGGTCCCACTATTCACAATTCCACTTGCGCCCCCAATATCCATAAATGTTGATTTTTTTTAAGATAATTATGTTTCTTCGAACGCTCTGCTTCTCACTTTCTTGCCTTTTTATAGACCGGTTCGGTATCCTAGCACAAGAGAACAAAAATTTAGTAAGTAAATGATATTCTTTGATAAAACAATCCCAAGTTTGATTATTCATCCCATCGAAACATCAGCC